CTATCACTCACCCACACCAGATGCAAAACTCTACAGACTGTCGGTTCACACCCCACCACAAGCAACAAGCAATCAAAAAACCCACGAAACAACGAAAGAAGGTCTGTCACAGCCAAAAAATACACTCCAGAGTCCAGACACGCCGCGGGCACTAGAGGCACAGCATGGCCGCGTAGTGACGGCCCCGACCACTGCCACTGGACCTGACCGGAGAATACCGTAGCAGGGTGCTAGCGAAGTCGTGGTATATATAGTCAAACAGGTACCTTGAGGGCAGTGGTTGGTGCCCACCTCAGGGTATCAGTTGTCGGGCAGTCGTTGATGCTTAACCACAGCCGGGGTTAAGGTGGATTATCACTTACAGTGTAATCAGTTAGGGGATTCTGCAGACTGTTGAGGGTTCAGCCTCCTGATGAGTCGGTGAAACTCCGACGAAACAGTTTGCCACAGCCCCTCGGTTGTTGTCCTCTTCGCCCTCTTGTCCCTCTCTGCCGACGGTTTACCGTCGGCAGCTCTGTTTGACTATAGATATGTAAACAGTTTGTCACAGCCCCTCGTTTGGTGTCCTCCTCTCCCTCTCTGCCTCCGGTTTGCCGGGCAGCTCTGTTTGAGGATATACACACACGCACACAGAGAGAGGGGGGGAAACCGGGTTCTACCTTAATGCTCCCTTGAGGCCCACGCTACCTCGTGGAGCACACTCCCTCAAGGCCCGGCTGCCAGTGTTGGGAAACTGCGATTCCCTGTTGGGCCCACACAGCGCGGGCCGCACTGGCTGGCGTGTTTGGGATTCTGCCACCGGATGTTCGAATACAAGCACTATAGCAGAGGGAGTTTTTTTCCTCAACTAGCAAATGCACCATTTCGTTTTTTTTTTTTTTTTTTTTTTTTCTCTTTGTGCTGCACACAGCTGGCAAACATGCCATAAGGAGCCTCGGCCCACTACTCATGAGATGCGCAAAATAAGAACGAATCTGCTGCTGGAACATGGGAAGATACACCGCCATATTGTTTGTTGTTTGTGTAGGTTGTGAGTGGAGCGAGGCGGTTTATCTTTCCATGTTCTAGCCGAAGATTCTTTCTCATTTTGCCTATTTGGAGAGTGGCAGAGCAAGGCCCGTTGCTGTTTTTTTTTTTGGGGGGGGGGGAGCAGTGGAGCGAGGCCGGGAAGTTTGGGAAGCTCACAATCTTTTTTTTTTTTTTTTTTTTTTTTTGTAAAGTAAGCTATATTCTTCTCTCAATTTCACCTTTCACTATCTACCTACCACTTCTACTCAGCCTGTACAGGGGACCCCTGCAAGCAGAGCAACCTCTCACAATTAAGGGGATGCATATTGCTCCCCCGCCCTAATCGGCGGTGGTAAGGGAGTAGGGTGGGGCTGCTGGTTGGGGGAGGGGGGGGCGCGGCTAACACAAAGACGGAGTTTTTGCCAGTGGTTATGGTCAACACTCTCACACACATGGCACACAACCCACTCATGCTCACACTCACACTCACACCCGTGTTGGCCATAGACCCTACTAATATCGATCAGGGGTATCAAGTGGACTATCATAGTCGGTTGGCACTAAGTTTGCCGCAGGCGGTGATGGGGCTCGAACCCACAACCTCCTGAATGCCACTTGCGTGCCTATCAATCTGATTTTTTTTTTTGCTTTGTCTATGCTTTCCTCGTCTTCAAGTTGTTCTTCTTCCTTTTTTTTCTTATTGGTTTGTTTTTTAGTGGAACATTTGCTGTACAATGTGTCTCTTGACTCTCTTCCGGTTTCTGCCCTCCAGTTGGTCTCTCGCCTATGTTGTTGTCAAAGGGGAACGACACAGGTTGGGAGTCTGAACACTTCCAGTTGCCTTGAAGTCTGTTTTCACTTGTGTTTATCTATGTCTGCAAAGAATAGGTTTATTCACTCCCTGCGGCGCAGTCAACACAAAGTCCAAAGTTCCAAACTAGTGAAAACATAGGCAAGAGACGACGGGACGTGTTGTTTGCGGCCCAATCAACACGTGCACGCTCCTGCGCATCGCTTCTCTTCCCATCGTCTACGACTGAAGTGGGGTGAAATGGGGTGGACAAGGGACAGTGGTGAAATGCGGTGGAGAAGGGACTGTGGGGAAATGTGGTCAAGACTCAAGGCTGTATTTTGGAGGGTTTGTGAGGGAAGAGGACTGTGGCCTTCTGTACCATGTAGGTAGAGAAGAAGAGTTTGGGTGTTAAGTTCCTATTGATAACTTGCATGAGAAGGTTGTGATCTATAGAATCAAATCAGTTAGTTATGTCTCCTTCGACTTGCCATCATGCTTCTCTGGGGTATATTCCATCTTTCATGATTATCATGAACGATAGGCAGGCAGCAATCCAGACTGGAACTCCATTTGTCCCTGCATCTGGCTGCATTTTGCCCTTACATTCAGGCGTTTGTAATCTGGTTGTGTGTATGACATGGTCTGCAAGTCATTCGTGTGCAAAGGTCGCCGATAACATTCTGTTTTCTGTCTGTGGAAAATGACTTCTCCGCAGCTTGATCAGCACTTCGTTCGTGCATCGACTTTGCAAGGTGGTGGAGGAGGAGGAATGGATAGGTTGAATCAAGACGATGGATGCTTGGGTATGCTACTGGACCTCTCTGTCATTGGAGATGTCTGTGTATTTGACTCCATTCGACTCATCTTTGGAGTCATTGCTATGGAGGTGGTTTGTGTGGGAGGGGGACTGCATTGCCAGCAGAACACCTGCGTCCGTATCTCCCCCTTTTCTTCCGTGCTGCAAAGGGATTGCATTCATCGAGATCAAGGGAACGGGTTCAAAGGACGCCTAGGTGGTTTCTAAGAGCAGCGGCAAATTCTACAGGCAGCAGGGTAACGCACCCGCACCCATGCTAACCAGTCTGGTGATCTGACAAGTCTCAGAGCAGGAGGGGGGCTTATGCAGTATGACGGTTTTTGCCGAAACCTGAAGGAGGGCAATAACCTGAACAGAAGCATGGCGGACATCCTTCTTGCTGGCAATGAACTGTCTTTACGCGAAGTTTACGGGCATTTCGGCCCGCTGCCCTAGCATCGATCGTTCATCTACACAAACACAAGTACAGGAGGGCCAAGTCCATGGCTCTCACACGAGACCGTTCTGACATGAGTATGCTCTTGTTTGTAGTGAGAACGGGCGATGGATCTTGATCCAACGGTTGCTAGGTCAGAATGACCGAGCACGATGACGGGCTTCTGTTGAAACCCCGGTGGTGAAGGGTGGGTTGCAGAAGCCTGAAGACTCGCTGAAGGTTCGCTGAAGGTTCGCTTGACGCTTCGGCAACCCCACATGTGCATAGAAGGTTCTCTTCTCTTTTTTTAGAGGGAAAAAAATCTGGTTGCAGCACAAACGAGTTTGGACTCTGGAGAGGGTAGCAACAAAAGCATACACGGGCAACGAACTCGCAAGCCGAGTTTGGAAGGGCAACAAAAGCATTTTTAACCCCGCGCGTCGAGCTTGAAAAGGGCAACAAACTCGCGTGCCGAGTTTGGGAAAGCCAAGAAATCACACACGGGCCACACCCATTTTTACCGATATTGCCCTTTTCAAACTCCCGCACCCGATGTTGTTGTCCCCACGTGTTTTTGTTTTGCCCTTTTCGAAACCGAAAGTGTGACACTGCCGGACTTGTTTCTTTTTCTYGTCTCTTGTTTTGTTCATAAAAGATTTGTCCCGACAATCTCAAGGTCTTCCGAATTTCCACCTCTCATTACTCCTGTGAAGTGTGTTGAACAGTGAGTACAGCAACTCCCTCTGGAGTGTGAACAATGAGTGTCCTTTCTCCAGCAGGGCATGGAAGGTGGATAGTGACAGAATCGTACAAGTAGGACAGGCTTAGTTGATGTTCCTGTGAARTAAAGTCTTAGATCTCAGCCTGGACTTTAACTGTAAGTTTGTACATATTGTCCTCTTCTCCCTCTCTGCCTACGGTTACCGGGCAGCTCTGTTTGACGCATATATAGTAAATAATAAATATATTTCTGGAAGTTCTGGTTTCATGGCACCAACCGGCATCTGTCTTTCCATTCATCTCCAAGCGTTCACATGTGTATAGTGTTTGTCCCTGGACCTCATGGTGTGTGTATGGAAGC